GGTTTCTGCTCCATCCTATTTGTGTGGTTTCATTGTGGATCCACCTGTCGCTGATCCACCTTCTCTCCCACAGATGCCGATTGTGGAGAAGATCCGAACAATAGCCCAGAAGGTGTATGGAGCCAATGACATGGAGCTGTCTCCAGAGGCCAAGAGCAAGATAGATTACTACAATCAACAAGTGAGATCACTGCTGCTGCAGTTATCACTGACAGGAGTCATGTAGCACATCTGCTCCTCGTGTCCCCCCACACACACACACATTAACCCCCTCTTTTCTCTGTAACCAGGGCTACGGCTCACTGCCCATCTGCATGGCTAAGACACACCTGTCCCTGTCCCATATGGCTGATAAGAAGGGCGCGCCCACCGGGTTTATTTTGCCAATCAGAGACATTCGCGCTAGCGTGGGGGCGGGCTTCATCTACCCACTGGTGGGAACGGTGAGTGCTTTGTTTAGGGTTAAGCAGGAGCATCAAAGATAAACCTGATTTTAGACGAGCATCTCTTAACCAACCAGGCTGAGTAGAAAAGCAGTCACATGCTAGCGTGTGTACATGTGTTGTAGCTCTCAGAGCCGCGGGTGGCAGGTTGGAGTTAGTTTAGGAAGTTTGATTATATTCAATTTGATCTTTTCTGCTGGGTTTCTGTTCCTGCAAGTTTTGTTGCCGTCTCATTTCACCTCATCATTCTCTCCAACCCACATTTGGTTTGTCTCTTGAGGTTCCCGACGTTGCCACGGGGGCTCGTTGGAGCCGCCCGGTCACGATGAGCCGGGCGGGAAGGAAGCGGCTTCCTGCTGTTTCACCAGCATGCCCTCGGGGACTCCGGTTCTGATTGTTGGGGGCGGGGGTGTCAGACACTGGCCATGCTGGGAAAAGGTTACCGTTCTTCTATGTGGCGTCTGTCCACATTCCCAAACCGGGCTTTGATCTGCTGCGGCCACTGGAAGAGCGACAACCCTTGAACTAGAGCCGATGACTCACAGGAAGTCTTGTTGTTCTTTGAACTCGACAGGCTGATGCAGAGATTTATGAGCAGACTTAATCAATCTTTGCTCTGATTGGTGAGTTTTACGACGGATCAGAAAATAAAACTTTCACTAAATGTTTGATGTAAAAGTTTAGCACACTTGATTGGAAGAGGGGGATTGTGGAGGAGGGGTCTGAAACGCCGGGAGTTCGGGGTCCCAACAGGATAAAGACCCCGGGAGGGGGCTGATGTCATTCTTCAGATATGTCAGGGAGGGGTAGCAGCCAGAACAACCAGTTAGTTTATGTATGCACACTCCCCTTTACTTACAGCTGGACTAAAGCTCAAACCAAGCCAGTATTTTATTAAACTGTAGTCTGCTACAGAGCAACATAAAGACTGTGAAGATGGAGCGAGTCCAGATAAACTGAGTTTAGAAACCTAAGCTGTTGACCGAGACGCTTCTCCAAGGTCAGTGGGGGGGGAGAACTCCAGCTGCATTGTCTAATCCAGGGTTTTCCCTGACAAAGCCACATTGTGTGTGAGGATAATGACGGGACTTGGTTAGGCGAGGAGGAGTTTCCTACTTTAGCCACGGAGCATTGTGTGTTGCTGCCAGAGGCTGGCAGCACAGCTCCTCTTTTGTTGCTCCGAAAACTGGAAATAAAAGCTTTTCTTCACATTTCAGCCCTTTGATATTTAAATTTGCCGAGTGATATTGTATTTCTAGGAGACAAATAAATACACGTATGGGGAGTTTAATAGTATTTTACTGTAGTAAATAAAGTGAGTTAAGAAAATCATGCTTTCAGTTTAATTCCTGTCATGCTGATCACATTTAACATCCAACATGGCAACTTTAACGTATTAAATGTGATTATTATTGTCCGCTTTCTGCAACAATAATCAGTTTATCGTTAAAACTTGAAGAAATAATGATCCTATATTATTAATCCTACTTAATTAAATTAATTAATTTGATCAGCTGAAGCTTTTTCTCTTTGCTTTTACCACAATAGCACCAAACACTTTCTATTAGTGTGACCAAATCATCCATTCATCAGGACCGATGATGTCACAGCTCCTTTCGTCTCCATGAATTCTTCTAAATGTGCTCATAGTTGGACTCATCTGCTGGTAAAAACGCTCATGTCACAATCCGGCCGGACCTGGAGGTCCGCTCCGCTTCGCCCCTCCTCTTCCTTCCACAGGAAGCTCTCTGCTCACTTCCTGTCTCATTTCCACTAATGGGCCTATAAAAGTGCCTTTGGGTCAGAAGCAGGGAGGCATGTGAGGAATGTTCCTGCCTGTCTAATGAACACGATGGTTTCCTGTTCATGGTGGATGGGAGGGACACTCTGGCTGGTGCGGAACAGGAAAGGTGTTTTAAAGGTCACTCATTTGCCTTTGATGTAAATCAATCTCAGTGCAGTTTTGGTTGCTGTTAGCTTATTGGGCAGAGAGGAAACGAACAGGAAGACCTGCTATGGTCAGAAGCTGGGGATGAGTCCGCTTACAGAATGGAGGCTGAACGGCTGGTGTCCTGGTGCAGCCACAACAACCTGGTGCTAAACACCCAGAAGACAGCGGAGGTTGTTGTGGACTTTAGGAAACACACACACCCCATCCCCCCCTTAAACCTGTCTGACACTCCCATCACGATGGTGGACTCATGTCGCTTCCTGGGCACCACCATCACCCAGGACCTCAAATGGGAGCCCACCATCACCACCATCAGAAAAAAGGCCCAGCAGAGGATGTACTTCCTGAGGCAGTTGAAGAAATTCAACCTATCACCACAGTCAATGAGGCAGTTGTACACCGCTATCATTGAGTCCATCCTCACCTCCTCCATCACCGTGTGGTACGCTGGAGCTACCACCAGGGACAAGAAGAGGCTGCAGCGTGTCGTGCGCTCTGCAGAGAAGGTCATTGGCTGCAAACTACTCTCCATTCAAGATCTGTACACCTCTAGGACATTGAGGCGTGCAGGTCGGATAATAGCTGACTCGTCTCACCCTGGACACAGTCTCTTCGACTCGCTCCCATCTGGCAGAAGGCTCAGATCCGTTCGGACCAGAACCTCTCGCCACAAAAACAGTTTCTTCCCCTCTGCAGTTGGACTTTTGAATGAAAATCCTAGGGCAGCCCGCTCAAGTTGATTGGTCCCAGTCACGTGACCCGATGCTGTGCTTGAAAAACACTCACTTGGCACACATATTGCAATAAAAACTTCTGATTCTGAAATGATGATAAAAAACCAACCAGATTAGTCTCAGTTGGAGCAACTCCATTATTACTGTCCAGGTGAGGACTTCCGTGTTTGTGACGTGGATCCAGTCCTCGGCGTTGGACCTGTGGGCGTCGGTCCCACTCTGGATAATTAACACGTCTTTGAAGCTAAATTTAAGAGGTTTGCTTTTGGTTTAAAGCAGCTGTGTTGTGGTGAAAAATTTAATAATTCTTTAGTCTCGGACAGATTTATGAGACAAAATCAAAGGTGGCTGAAAATGGGATCCAAATGCTTATTTTTCCTGTAAGCATTTGGACATTTCATAGTTTTTCTTTATATTAAAGACAACAGGTTTTTACTTCCTGTAACTAAACAGCTCATCATTTGGTCTGTTAACTGTAAATTTATTAAAAAATCTTTAAACTGTTTTTTATGTTTGTTTTTATTTGTATCCTGACAATAAATCAGATTTATTATGATGTTTAAACAGATATAAATGTTAGCTTTAATTTGATTTTTTTTTTTTATTTATTTTTTCCCTCACACAGATGAGCACCATGCCTGGCCTCCCCACCCGACCCTGTTTCTACGACATCGACCTTGACCCCGACACAGAGGAGATCACAGGGCTCTTCTGAGCATGCTCACTACAGACGCTCCTAAAGCCTTTAGTATTAACTGCATCTGTTGCATCAAACCTCGTTTCTGCAGCTCTCCTCAGGATCCTCAGCTGGAGCTCCTCCTGTAAACGACCAAAATCCCCTCTGGGTGTAAATGAGCACTCTTTCACTCCATCTGACCAACACCAACAGCTAAAGCATGACTCAGCGCTGGTTCAACAGACACCGTTAGATTAACGTGACCGGATGGTTGTCTGGAAACCACAGCAAGTTCTCAGCTTGTTGTCAGGTTTCAAGATCTTGTTCTGTGAGAAGAAACGATCCATTTGAGCATTAAGGTGAAGCTTTTTTTGCACGTCAGTGTCATTTGCTAAAGATCTGTTGTTTTTCTACCACTGTCCAGCCTTTCCAGTGTATGGAAGATTGTTTAACTTGCTGCTCAGACTTGTGTAACCTCTGTTAGAATATCGGAAAAAATGTTACATGGATCATTTCTGCATTCACTGATTTAGGGGTGAAGCCGTCTTGTTTTTTGGGCCATTTGAGAGTCTGAGATTTAGCAGTATTAATTTAATCCTGTTTTTTTAATGTTGTCTTTATTCATTTCTATTTTGTCTTATCCACAAATTCATTTGTGGAGCTAAAATGGCCTGAATGTAAAACATGTTCAGTCACGAACATCACAATTGCCTTTTAAATAAACCTTTTATTGACTCTGACTTTGTGTTCTTGTGCTTTTTAAAACAAATGAGTGAACTTTTCATCTTGTTGCTTCCTAATTCTGCAGGAATTAACTCAAAGCAAAACTAAAACCTTCATTTTTTCACTATTTAAGCTTTCAGGAACATTTCCTGTAAGAGCTGTTTGACTCCAACACGAGTTCAAAGTGTTTCTGCCTGGAGGCGGTGGATCGGGCCCTGCAGCAGCACCCCGGGGTGCAGCCAGCGTTTTATTATGTAGTGTTTGAAGTGTGTGTGTGTGTGTGTGTGTCTTAGCTGGAATCTCACACCTATAAGTCTGTTATTGGCAGTCTGGATGTGGCAGTTAGAGCAAGTAGAGGCATGCCTCTGTCTGCAGCTGATGACAGACTGACCAGGCTTAGTCATCACTTTGTAATGCGCTGGAAAATTCTTTTTGTTGCGTTGTTGTTTTTTGCGATGACTTCATATAGTTTCTAGCAGAGGAGCCGAGTTCAGTACCAAGGACAGGTCCCTGTGGACGTCTGAGTAGAAACCGGTCAGAATATTTCAGGATTGAGTTTCTCTTGAGTGTCAGTGTTCCTGGTTTTCTAACAGATGCAACATGTGCTCTGGAATTAATAAACCAATGGAGTCTTCTGGGTCCAGGGACTTTGTTTTTGTATTTTGAATAGGGATGTATGATTTCTCCATATTAGATTGTCTTAGTATAAAGCTCTTTCACTGAGGAAAACTGGGCCTTTATTTGTACTTTTAATCCACTGTTTTCTATACAAATGTGTACGGCTTGCTATGTGTAAAAGACATCATTTATGCAGTTTGACGGTACAGCTGATCATTTAGTTTTTCTATTTAAATCTAAACTAAAAATAATCAGCCGAAAGTAATGAGCTGAACCCCTTTTTATTTTAGCCACAATTCATAAGAAGCTTTTCAGAATAAGAGAAAAACGTTAATTCAGTATTGAAACACACAGCCTGCTCACAACTGCGTACTATCAGGTCACTTTTAGTTCTATAAATGTCGTCTTGTTTTGTGTCGGAGCCTGCTGTGTAATAACCCTCAGGGTTGCATTCTTTAGCCCGCCTTGCCTCAGTCTGAAAACACGTTCCATGGGGTTTAAAAAGCTGGAAGTTGTTTAAGAATGTCTAAAATGAACAAGAACAGTCTTTGCTCAGATGTAGTTTCAGGGATTCATGGATCTGATCTCATAGCTTGTCTTTTATTAGTGGAACTAAATCAGCTTTCATCCATCTTCCAACAACAAAGAGGAGAGTGTCCGTGTCCGAGAGATTCCGTTGTGGGATTCAGGCTCGGTGCCTTTCATGTGCCCCTCGCATTACCGCTTTATTGAGCCGAGACCACGACACATCCGGAAAGGCTTTTTGATTTAATGAGAACCTCCTTCCTTTGTCTCTTCCACTCCTCCAGATGACATCAACATCAGCGTCTAAAGCATTCATTTGACTTCAAGCAGCAGCAGAAGTTTGGAATATTTTATTTTTAGTCTGAGATCATTTGATATTTCGCTTCTTGAGTTTCAGATAGAAGTCAGTTCTGCTTTGCAGATTCCAAAAAAGGCAAATTCCCAAAGTTACTCCTCGTAATTTTGACTCATTTGTTTTGATAAACAAATTTTAAAAAATATGTATTAAAAAAAAGCTCATCTGTGCAAATCAGTTTATGTAACATGATAAAATAAGTAAATAATAGGTCAAAAAGGGAAGCAAATTGAATTATGTAAGAATTAAATGATGCAATATTCCACCTCCTCCTTGAACTGTCACCTTATCGTGGTGGAGGAGTTTGAGTGCCCTAATGATCCTAGGAGCTAGGTTGTCTGGGGCACTTTGTGCCCCTGGTAGGGTCTCCCATGACAAATTGGTCTTAGGTGAAGGGTGAGACAAAGAACGGTTCACAGGATCTTTCATGGATGTAAATTCAAAGAGTCGGAGTACCCAGCCCGGAGGGTTACCGGGGTCCCACCCTGGAGCCAGGCCTGGGGTTGGGGCCCTTGAGCGAGCGCCTGGTGGCCGGGCTTTCGCCCATGGGGCCCGGCCGGTCCCACCCCGAACCGGATACATGGGCTCACCCAACTGTGGACCCACCACCCGCAGGAGGAACGTGAAGGGTCCAGTGCAATGTGGATCGGGTGGCAGACCAAGGTGGGAGCCTTGGCGGTCCGATCCCCGGACAAGAAAACTGGTTTTTGGCACATGGAACGTCACCTCGCTGGCGGGGAAGGAGCAGGAGCTTGTGGCAGAGGTTGAGCGGTACCGGCTAGATATAGTCGGACTCACCTCGACACATAGCATTGGCTCTGGAACCCGAGACCTGGAGAGGGGTTGGACACTCTCCTTTGCTGGAGTTGCTCCGGGTGAGAGGCGGAGGGCGGGGGTTGGCTTTTTGTTAGCCCAAAGACTCTCTGCCTGTGTGTTGGGGTTTACCCCGGGGGACGAGAGGGTAGCTTCCCTGCGCCTTCGGGTCGGGGAATGGGTCCCGACTGTTGTTTGTGCTTATGGGCCAAATATCAGTTCAGAGTACCCACCCTTTTTGGAGTCCCTGGGACGAGGGCTAGATAGTGCTCCATCAGGGGACTCCATTGTCCTGCTGGGGGACTTAAATGCTCACGTGGGCAATGACAGCATGACCTGGAGGGGTGTGATTGGGAGGAACGGCCCGCCTGATCTGAACTCGAGTGGTGTTTCGTTATTGGACTTCTGTGCAAGCCGCAGTTTGGCCATAACGAACACCATGTTCGAACATAAGGATGCCCTTCGGTACACTTGGTACCAGGGCAGCCTAGGTCGCAGGTCAATGATAGACTTTGTAGTCTTATCATCTGGCCTACGGCCGTATGTTTTGGACACCCGAGTGAAGAGAGGAGCGGAGCTGTCAGCTGATCACCACCTGGTGGTGAGTTGGATCAGATGGCAGGGGAAGATGCCGCGTGGGCCTGGCAGACCCAAACGCATAGTGAGGGTCTGCTGGGAACACCTGGCAGAAGAACCTGTTAAGACGGTCTTCAACTTCCACCTTCGGCAGAGCTTTGACCGCATCCCGAGAGCAGTGGGAGACATTGACTCCAAGTGGGCCTTGTTCCACTCTGCGATTGTTGAGGCGGCTGTTGCTAGCTGTGGTCGCAAGGTGGCCGGTGCCAGTCGTGGTGGCAACCCACGTACTCGCTGGTGGACACCAGAGGTTCGGGGAGCCGTCAGGCTGAAGAAGGAGACCTACAGGGCGTGGCTGGTCTGTGGGTCTCCGGAGGCAGCAGACAGGTACTGGATAGCCAAGCGGGGTGCAGCAGTGGCAGTTGCCGAGGCAAAATCTCGGGCGTGGGAGGAGTTTGGCGAGGCCATGGAGAAAGACTATCGATTGGCTCCAAAGAGGTTCTGGCAAACTGGGAGTTTGCCCAACCAATCCACACGTGTTTTGTGGATTTGGAGAAGGCTTATGACTGTGTCCCCAGGGGCATCCTGTGGGGGACGCTCCAGGAGTATGGGGTGGGTGCCTTTCTGTTTAGGGCCATTCATTCCCTTTACTGGAGGAGCGTGAGTTTGGTCCGCATAGCCGGTAGTAAGTCTGACCTGTTCCCAGTGAGGGTTGGACTCCACCAGGGCTGCCCTTTGCCACCGGTTCTGTTCATTAACTTTATGGACAGAATTTCTAGGCGCAGCCGTGGTGTGGAGTGTGTCGAGTTTGGTGGCCGGAGAATCTCGTCTCTGCTATTTGCGGATGATGTGGTCCTCCTAGCTTCATTCAGCTCTGACCTTCAGCTCTTGCTGGGTAGGTTCGTGGCCGAGTGTGAAGCGGCTTGGGTGAGGATCAGCACCTCCAAATCTGAGACCATGGTTCTCGACCGGAAAAGGGTGGCTTGCCAACTCCGGGTCGGGGGAGAGGTCCTACCTCAAGTGGAGGAGTTTAAGTATCTCGGGGTCTTGTTCACGAGTGAGGGCAGGAGGGATCGGTAGATCGACAGGTGGATCGGTTCAGCGTCTACAGTGATGCGGACGCTGAGCCGATCTGTCGTGGTGAAGAGGGAGCTGAGCCAGAAAGCCAGGCTCTCGATTTACCGGTCGATCTACGTCCCAATCCTCACCTATGGTCATGAGCTTTGGGTAATGACAGAAAGAACGAGATCACGGATACAAGTGGCCGAAATGAGTTTCCTCTGTAGGGTGGCCGGGCTCAGCCTTAGAGATAGGGTCAGGAGCTCAGACATTCGGGAGGGACTCGGAATAGAGCCGCTGCTCCTCCATATCGAGGAGTCAGTTGAGGTGGTTTGGGCATCTTGTTAGAATGCCTCCTGGACGCCTCCCTGGGGAGGTGTTTCGGTCATGTCCTGCTGGCAGGAGGTCCCCGGGTCGACCCAGGACACGTTGGAGAGGTTACATCTCCAATCTGGTCCGGGAATGCCTTGGGGTCCTGCCGGAGGAGCTGGTGGAGGTGGCCGGGGAGAGGACGATCTGGAGCTCCCTAGTTGGGATGCTGCCCCCGCGACCCGGACCCCGATAAGCGGAGGAAGACGACGGCAATATTCCACAAAAATCATGGGATTTACTTTGTACTGTTGATTAAGATTGATTTTGTTCTTTTCTGCTTTTATTTATCTTATTTATTGAAGATTTGCTTTGCATAAAAACGTTTTTGTTATTTAAAATTTTCCTCATTTCCTGTTTTATTCTGAAAGTCTTTTGAAGTTGAAAACATGAACCTATTTTACATTTATATGGATTTTCAATGAGTTTGATACAGTTTTCTACTTTTACAAGTCTGTAATTAAAATAAACTGTAAGACACGAAATGTTGAAGTTATGTCAACTGGTTCCACTAAACCTTGAATGTAAAGAGTAACTTACTTTTAAAGTAACAACAGTATTTTGAACTTTAAGCTAGAGCTTTAACATTGATCTCAGTGATTGTTGCGTTAGAAACTTAACCAGTTTCATTTTGGGTGTCTTTGGGGGTGCTCTTTACCTGCTTTAGCTGTAATGCTGGTGGTTAGCATTTTCAGTTTGCTGATTGTCAATAAGAAGAAAAAGAATTTTGCTTTTTCTGTTGGCATCAGCCTGGAAGTAAAAGTAAGAGACTAATGTCTTCGGAGGCAAGCAAAGAGCTAAAATTGGAGTAAACATTTACGTGGTCTACACTAGTTTGAGGGAGCTAAAGGAGGCTACAAATGCATGGACTGATGGTGACCTGGCTTTGTTGCTACTGAACTTGTAAGTAAAATTTTTGTGCAGCAGGGTGGATCTTTCTACTTCATGGTTTATTTTAGTATTAGCTGCCTCATGGTAGTGCTAGCTCATTGTTAGCGCTAGCTACAGCATGATGCAGCGGGATTGTTTATAACGGTTGTAATTCCACTTTTAACCAGTAGGGTAGAGGGGCAGGAATCTACTCAGTGTTACTTTAACATAACATATAACATTGTATATTGCTCTTTACATTTAAGCATCTAGGTTTAGTGGAACCAGTTGACTTAACTTTGAAAAGTAAATTGAACATTTTCTTTTTTACAGTGTATATTGTCTTGCCTTTTAGCGCTACATTCAAGCATGTTACACTCTGTAATATTGTTAGATGTTGGTTAATAAAACATAATTAGAGGTCAGTGTGTGTTGAGTTTATTCTTTCTGCTGAGTTCATTTTCAGGTGTGTGTAAAGACCAGCTGACGAAACAAGTTAACCAATAAAACAACAGTTATTAACGTGTAAATGATGCAGATGCACGGTGATCTCTGGTTAGAATCTTAAACATGGTGCATTTAAATTTTAAAACATCTCTATTTTTGTTTCCATGTTTCAGATGACTCAGTTCAGACCACATGATGTGAGCTTTCCCTCCATGAGGCAAAGAACTGGACTTCATGGGCTGTCCAGAAGTGTCCTGAGGGGTCTGATCGTTGTGTTTTTCAGGCTGAGACATGCACACAGCAGACTTGTTTCTCAGCCCCAGACAGACACGCTGTTGAACAGAAATGTGTCCCGTTAGAGATCGTAATCACTTCAAACACAACAATAAAGTAACAATATTGCTGTGTTACTGGACACGACTGCATTAAAGCTGCGCCAGTCACCAACAAACAGCTTGCGTGTACGAGAATGACCATATTAATCTGAGTTTACAACTTTGATCCCTTTATAGGAACAAAAACATGCAAATAAATCTTAATTTTCTGGTTTATAATCATCTGTTGAGACTGTCTGGAGGATAAAGCGTCTCCTGAAGTTGCTTTAGTTCCCGTTTTTGACTCTGACAGGCCACATAAGTCTTTCAGTGTTTCAGTTGTCATCTGCTTGTTTTTTCATTTTGATTTTATCTGTTCCAGATCAGGCCTGTGTGAACCTGGCTGTTGTGTGTGGACTATAATTATTTTTTTGATGTTGTAAAATTCTAAAGAATCCAGCGTATACGGTAGCTCAACCTGCAATTAACTTTTAAACCTGAAGACCAGGAAGCTGCTTTTAACCCACACACTTCATCATAAACGCACATGACACGCTTTGGAGGTGAAACCAGATGTTTGATCCTTTTAATCAGAAAATATAAAAGACAAAATGTTACAAATATGATTTTGATTTTAAACATTTTTCTTTCTGCTTTGATCTGAGTGACATTACTTCAAGTCTGCACTGTAAAAAAAAGTTTTACCTGCTTGTTATGTCAGCTTATATTAATTTATAGATACTACTCATGAAGATGTAATAAAATAAAACATTATAAAATAAAATAAATAGCTAATCGTAGAATGAAATTTTGTTCATTGTCGAATTGATTTTAGAGGTTTACAAACATTAAAATGTTCACATCAGTGTTGTTTTGTTTTTCTGTAATTCCCATCTAAGGTGATCCCATTCTGGTTGGAAATCATACACTGTTTACACTTTTTTAGTGAAATGACAATTCGTGATCATGGAAAGATCAGTTAGATATTGTTCAATCTTCAAACTGTTAAATGACTAATCAGTGACGTTTATGCTCCTCGTTATGCGCTTTCTGTGTTTCTGTTCTAGTTCCATAGTTATTCTGTTCTTCACAGAGTAGCAACATTTACTGGTTTTTACTGACAGTTTGGGCGTCACAAAAATTTTGTATTTTTATTTAGTCTGTCAATACTTTTATTTTGAAAAAAATAGACTCACCAGTCACCATTTTATGTCAACTTAAGATAAAGTAGACACATTATTTCATTATCCTGTATTTTTCTATGCCTGCACTCACATATTTTAAGTTGGAACAACATGCTATATTTTACAGTGTGTTTCATGGGCACTCCTTCAGCAATGCATACTCTTGTGCATTTGTTTATTCCATCTACTAAAGCATTGTAAAACTGTCATATTGTTTCTTGAACATTGAGCATGGGTGCTATGTGAATGAAACCCTCTAAATATGTGTTTTCTGTGAAAATCTCTGCACCAAATGTGTTGAATCTGCAGTAGCTAAACTGTTTTTTACAACTTACATTTTTATGCATGAACTTGCATATCATTTTCCTCCCAAAATTCTTTCCTAGGTCAGATTTCTGCAAAAAGATGAAGTAGCATGAAGTTTTATCATCCTCCGTTAGCAGCTTGCAGGATGTCCTCTGCAGCCTCTGAAGCTCAGGAGGAGGAGGAGGGGATTTCCTGAGAGAAGTTTGGTGGTCCTTTTCATTCTCCATCAGTCCCGATCCAGGCCTTATCGGGGCGGAGCTACACCTTACAGCTACCTCTGACTTCAGAGCCTCGTCTGGGAAGTCGCTCCTGGAAACGCAGTGGTGCAGCCTGCAGCGTGGGTGCCCTTTGTTTTGCTTTTTATTTTCTGTAGTCTGAGAGCAGCAGAGCAGCAGATATTTGTGGTAGTGTGTCACCATGGGAGCACAGAGCTCATCGCAGCGGGACGGGAAGAGCCAGGAGGATGCGTCAGTTTCAGCTTCAGCCTCCGGCGGGGAGTTGAGCGCAGAGGTGAAGGTGCTCCAGGACAGCAGCAAGGTACAAATCCATCTAAAACACCTCCTCATCATCATATCTGCACAAACCCACTCTCTAATTTAAATTAGAGATGTTTTCTTTTGTCCGTGGTCCTGCGGAAACCTCCCCTGCTTCTTCAGATGTGCCGCAGCGCGCACGTGAGCGGGGTTCGGTTGTTTTTGCTGCGTAATGGGTCGACTTGTCTGCAGTCCCGCAGTAATAAAACGCAAGCAGCCGATTTACAGCCAGACAGGCCAGGGAGACTTTTAGAAGAAAGTTCATCTGGTGATCTCAATTTACTCTTTAATTCTGAGCTGAAACTATTCAACAGGAAGTAAAAATCTAGTAAAGAAGCAGCATTTTGATCTGCAAACAGCCGTAAAATGAACACAATCCTGTCAGACTCATGGTTCAGCATAAAACTTCCTTTTTACTCATAATGGGTCTAGTTTATATATAAAATATTATCTCATCCTGCAAATAGGAGACTTGAAATCTATTTTAGAAACGTAACAGATTAATTATTATTAATAAATATGTGATTTTTTGCATCTTAGAGCACCATTTAAAGGAGAAGTTCCCCACTGTAGGTCACATAAAACTAAGTTAGAGGCTCAGTTGATCTTCAGAAATCTAATAAATCTTAAAATATAATGAAATTGTTTGTATTCACTATAAATTATGTAAAATCTAATAGTGTTTCGCAATTTTTAGGGGATTTCAGAAGCTAAAGGTTTTTGGAATCACTGATTTTATTTAAAAAAATTAAATCATTATAGCCTGTAAAAACTTTTGTTTTTTTGATCAATTATTTCACAGATTTAACAGAAAAAACTAGAGCTAAGGAAACAGGGAAGTAAATTCTGTAAATGCGTGCAGGCTGATGTTCTCCCTGGCATCAGCTTTTATCTACTTTTTCACATCTAAATTAAATCAAGTTGTTTACCCTGGAGAGAACAACCGTCTGGAAAAACAGACATTTTAAATAAACGATATACTCACGATGAAAGGTTGAGGTGTCCAAATGAACAGATCTTAATGTTTATTCCAGTTTCTTTACACGTTTAAACAACTCTCTAGTTTGCTTCATCTGCAGCTTGTAGTTAATCAGCTGCCACTTCTGTTCTTGCTTAAATATTTAAATTGCACATAAGCATTTAGAAAATGGTAATTAATGACTGCAATGTCTGTTTCACCACCTGCTCCATTAATGCCTCATAAACCCACTTGTCACTTACTGACATTTGTTATGGCCGTAGGGTTGGTAGGTCAAATTCTGTTGCCTGTCTCGTCCCCTAAAGGCCACCGGAGAGTTAACACAACAGCACAGATCTAGACTTCATCTTCTGGCTTCATCTGTTCATACTTGTTTCTTTCTTGAGAAATTTTTGTTTTGTTCAAGTTTCTACGTTTCCACGTGTTGGAGCAGCAGCGAAGTGACGTGATACGCGTGGCAACTTGTTTCTCGATACACCTCGGCAACTCTGAGGCGATAAAATCGACACGACAGCAGGACGTTTCACAGGAAATTCATATCTGGCACAAGAACAACTAGTTTACAAGATACCCATGTCATTTATCCTTTGTTCTTGTTGGTTTCAGTTGTGACAGTGGATGGTTTGTCAGCGTGTGGCAGCTTGTTGAACATGATGGTTGTTGAGATTTTAGAGAAATACTGGAAAACATGTTTAAATTATTTTAAACATCCAGCCCTTCCCCCTGCTTATCTAGAATCTGGCTGTGGAGGTAAGAGGTCCTGGAGGAAAACTCCAAACCTCCTGAACATTCTACCGCTCATCTTGATCTGATCACATGTCCGAACCACCTCAGTGGACGCCTTTTCGATGAGGAGGAAAAGCTATTCTACTCAGAGCTCATGAATGTTCCGATACCTGGCATCAAGTCCAGAACTCAGACATAAAGGGCACGTGTTTTTGTTCCTAAAAGGAGGAAACAGGCTTTAATCCTCACATTTTACAGTTAAAGGACTTAAAGTAACACTGAGCAGTTTCCTGCACTGCCACCCTGGTTGAAAGTGGAATAATGGCTCTTTCAAAGGATCCATTCATTAGTCGGTTGTTTGCCTCGAAGAGTTGTTCAAAAGACTGGCTCCTTTGATCAAAGCGAAGCCATGAGAGCGGGGTTGGGGGCAACGTGTTCCACCGGTGTCCGTGAGGGCACGCAGAGGGTGGGTAGCTTTCTGTCGACGTTCGTCACGGCAGTGGGTGGGGGTTGAGCGTCTACGCTTTGCCACCTTCGGGGGTTATTACTAAAAAACGAGATTAACGGCTCTCTACAGGGACTCGGATATCATCGTTCACTTTGAAAACCCGTTCAAAAGATTCGATGAACGCCTCATCACTAAGCCTGCTGTAGCTAGCATTAGCAATGAGCTAACACTAACATGAGCCAACTAATACTAAAAAAAAACTGAAGTAAAAAGATCCACACTGTTGGACAAAAAATATTATTACTTAGAAGTCCAGTAGCAACAAAGCCAGGTCACCATCAGTACATGATTTTGTAGCCTTCTTTAGCTCCCTCAAACTGCCATAGGCCACGCCGATGTTCACTCTGCTTTTAGCTCTTTGCTTCGCCTCCAAAGACATTACTCTCTTACTTTTACTTCCAGACTCTGTCATGATGAAAGCAGAAGAAGCTAACTTCTTCTTCTTCTTCTTCTTCTTCTTCTTCTTCTTCTTCTTCCAACGTTTAAAACTGAGTCCAAGGTAATTTCTTTGGCGGTCTTTGAGGCGCTTTTTGAAAAGTTTAGTCCGTGGTCTTTACTTTTGTTTGTCTTCCAGTAGACACAGGCAGTCATGGAATTAGTGTTTGTGGTGGTCGTGAATACGATTATAGCAGCTGCATGGTTCGCCGTGTCTTTGAAAACAGCTAAAAAATGCCCCTCCGTCAAGGAACGTCTGCAAACATTGATCATACATCTGTATGTAATAGGGCTGCAAGATATTAGGAAAACCTGCAATTTTCGATAACAGTGCTTAATATTGCGATATCGATATTACTCACGATAAATGAACAAATACTTAAGTATGCAGTGCTGATGTCGTCTTTCGTGTGACGTCTGCTTTGGGCTCAAAACAAAAAAAAACTAATGCATGAATTCCATTACAACATAACATTTTTATAGCAAAAATATGCAGCTGCACCTGCTACTGTATTAGCAGCAAAACAACAAACTGCATGCTTGCAATTTCTCAGTGACTTTAAAACATCACCTCCACCATAAAACTTTTCTGATGCTCCAAATACAGAAAAACATCCCTCACCAGGGTTTTTTGAGTAAATTAAAAAATCAGAAAATAAGTTAAAATGTTAAATAATAGTTAACATCACTTACATGCAACAGCAAATTCTCTCATTGCTACTGAGCATTTTCTCCACTTATGTGGTTATGATATAAGGCTGTTGCTGTAATTGGAAAGTGAACTGTGCTGGGCCAAACTAGAAGAATATTAAGATTTTCTGAGGGAAAGAGAAAAACAATTGTCTACCTTTCAGAAGAGGAACTGGCAAAAAACTACATGGAAAATATAAGAAAACTTTTGTTTTTAACCCCAAATTGAACAAGTTTACCTAGATCTTAAAAAGCAGCTCAGATGATGAAACTGCAACTATGATTCTGATAACAAGCTAACAAATTGAACTAGCTCCTCTAAGATAACCGGCTAGCAGAGCTTCTGACTGACAGTTTATGTGCAGCAGCAAATCAACTATCCTGATTAACAAGGTTATAAAAGCTCATAAAGGAAAAATCACTTTGATGTGTGGGGGAACTTTTCCAGGCCCTCTTTAGCAGGGTGGGACTGGGAGGAGAGTACTGTAGCCTTTTAGCTGGAAGCTAACCGGAGCCTGGGGCTAACATCATCACGCGGTGGAACACTAGCGACATGGAGGTGGGTTGGTTCACCGGCACGTGTCGGAGTCAGCTCGGTTATCATCAGCTGCTTAACGACACCAAGCGGACTCACATTCACGTTTGAAAGCAGTGCTGATTCCAGAAACATCAGCACAAAGTGCGTTCGTTAATCTGAGCCAGCATGACAAACAAGGGAACGGTGCCGCTAACTCAGTTCGGGTGTTGCGTTCCACCCATCCTAAGGGTCTACGTAGGGGGCGGGTGTATTACGTGAACGGACCCATCTGATTGGCCGTATCAGAAGGGCTACATTTGATCGGTCAAAATAATACTTCCGCATAAAAAACAGAGCTGGTTAAAAAGTTGATGTATGACACGGATGGAAATGTTTGAACCAAAAATTTATTGCCGTTTTTGACGTGCTTTGCGATGGGCCTATCGCACGTCCTGTTATCCTGATGACAATAATTTTTCGATATATTGTGCAGCCCTAGTATGTAAGCAGATGTCAAACGCTATTGGTTCATCCTGAACGGCACTCAATTCAAATTGCATACGAGATGGGGGGTGGGCTTAGCAAAAAAATGTTTTACATATTGCTTATATAATGTCACAGTCCTGGGTGAGGCTATCACTTTTACAGATTTCTAAAACTGCCTACATAATTCATGAAAAGTGGAAAACTCCAGATCCGTTCTATAATCTGGATTACTGATAAAATGGCCTAATCTGGCAAAGTCTTTGTTGTTATTAACAGAGTATTAAAGTCCGTTTGGAATAGATGTCTCTAAACAAGATGTTTCCGAAAACAAATGTTTTGATGACTAAGTCTGCCATTTTTAGAAACCAAAGTCAGGACAGTGAAATCTTGCAGCCTAATCTGGTATCAAATTTGTGCTTTTTCCTTTTGTGACCCACACAATGAAGAAACACGACCTTGACTTTGACATGAAGCATTTTATTCTCTCACCATCTCACTCAGAGGGAGTGAGCAGAGGGACACACCTGTCTGAGGGGAAAACTGTGGGAATAAGGAATAAACTCGTTTTGAAAGCAGATGCGTTCAAGTCTAGTTGGACGTACGGGGTGCTTTGGGGAACAGGAAGTGGGAGGAGTCTGTGGTTGTGCTTTGGAGCACATTGGT